GCTTGACTGGGCCTGCTGCAACTGATGTAGTCACAACTCTTCTAATCGTCTTAACATTGTACTTTATTGATACAACCTATCCAGTTTTACTATACCAACCCTGGTGTGGTAAAATCAATCAAGAATTAGGACAAAATTTCCATTTGCATCTTATTTGCAGCTGCAAATGTGGAGAACACACTTCTAAAACTAGTTTAAAACAGGGAAAAAGGATTTCGACAGGTTTTAAATGTGATTGTTCTTTATCATCGCCTTCTGTCTTTGTCTTAACCTGTTCAGAACCATACTGGAAATGTCTGGTTACCGACGATTCAAGAGATTGGTGAGGTGATCGTAAACGAAATTAAACAGAATCAGAAACTATATCATTGTTGCCACAAATATGGTTCTACTTTAGACTGATTCCTGCATTGAGGTTTAGCCTAGCACATGTCACCAGTATTTACATCGAAGCTCAACATAGCTCTTTTTTTTATTTGCTGATGGAGTTATCTATGTAACGCTATTATATGTCTCCTTCCAGCTAAGTCACACCTACTTCTAAGAGAAGTCAAAGTCCGAAAATAAACTGTGGCTTCATCTTTGCTATCATGCAAATATGCAATATACGGTGCTCATTTGCCAACACAAAGTAAAGCAGTGAAATATATTTAAAAAAACTAAAGTCTATTAAATAGTGTAAGGGTTGGCTTAAGAGAGTGAGAACTTGATGCTCAGTACATTGCCAAATAGATATCATTGTGTTGTAATATTGCAGTGCCTTGTTGAGGAGCAGTGGCGTGCTTTAACTCAGAACATTAAAATGAGAAGGTAAATCTTGAGAAAATGCAAAGACATCATTTGCAAAAGGTTGTGTGTGTGTGTGTGTGTGTGTGTGTGTGTGTGTGTGTGTGTGTGTGTGTGTGTGTGTGTGTGTGTGTGTGTGTGTGCGTCTAAGTTTTCTTATTCCAAGAAAACGGGATCAGCATGGACTCTTTTAAACACCGTCAATAGTTTTCTGTACTGTATTGCTATGATTGCACACTTACTAATATTTGCTGTAACAACTTTGAAAGATTTTTTTTCAACGTTGCCTTCTGAAGTTTAAAAAAATTCATTTAAATCCTTTACTTTGACAAACTGGTGTACTTGTTGATGTCACTTTTTAAACAGATGATTTTCCATCTGGAATATTTTTCCAGTGAACACAAGCATCAAATGGTTATAGTTTTAGGACAACAGATAAACGAGGACATTCAGTCATCATCATTTTCAAACAGCATTTTGCACACATATGAAACAAATTATAAAAATTATTAACAAAAATAAAACAACTCCAGGTTATAAATATTTCAGTGAAAGACTCATAACTAAGCTAGTGAAACTCAACTTAAATTACAACTCTCTATGTACACCTAGAAGGAAAAGGAACCAATGAAATTACAGGTCAGCATAGATTTTATATTTCAGAATCAAAGTTTTCTATAAAAGAAGTTGAAAAGTGGTAAAATAATCTCTAAAACTAATTGTAATCAGTTTGAATGTGTTCAATATGATTATTAATAGAAATCAAATATGCAGGTAAATCATTATTTTGGTGAAATATCTTAAAGAATGACTTTCCTTATCAGAATCCAGTGCCTGTTCAGATATTTGATTCTCAATGTCATGTGATTAATCCTGAGGGGATAACTAAGGGGGTTAGGAACCCTGAAAACAGCAGAGGGAAACTATGAGCATGTGGACGCAAACAACAGATAGACAATAATGTGTCAGAGTAAACAGTAGCAAACAAGCTGGAAGCCGATTTGGCTTCAAGCTTAACAAAGTACCATGAATCACATTTAACAGCACCATTAATCTTTATAAGAATACCAGCGTGATCTAACAATTATGAAGCAAATTAAAAAATAAATGTATAAGGTGAGTAAAAACTGATAACAGACTCATCAGAACTTATTTTAAAGGACCACTGGATCGTATTCCAGCATTTATTGTAATGAGTCGATTGGAAAAAAAGTGAAAATATGTTAGTGTTTTAAAAGAACCCTGTTTACCCTGTTCATGTTTCTCCTGATATTACATTTGGCGCATTGGCTGGGTGAGATTGGACTCTGGCAGTGACAACCAGGGGCGTTGCACGTAGGGTGAAAGGCCCTGTGTTGGCTTTAAAAGAGTGAGGCACTGCTCTTTGATGTAAATGTGTAATTGGGCATGAATAAAGGTCAATCTTAGAAAAGAATTACTATAATTGTTGGATGAGACAAAAAATGTTGTAAACAACACATTTATCTACTGTTTATCCTTGGGGCTTCTCCTCGTGCTATTGGCTACTGAGCTTCCTCAGCGGATGTCTGTCTGGCCTGCTGCGACCAAGGCTACCAGCCCCTTTGCTGGTTTTGGGTGCTGAGATTTTTTAAATCAGCACTCTTCTCATCATCTTAACACTTTATTTTATTGATATAAGCTATCCAGGTTAACACAAAATGCAACATTTCTGCTTGTAGGAAAAATTATTATTATTAAGTATTGTCTTTTAGTATCACAACAATTAACCTTTGAGAAGAACTTACTGACACTGTTGGATGACATGAAGAAGCTATAAAAATTGGAAACAACTTTTTTTCTACTTCTTCTTGTATTGTAGTGATCTATATATGTACAATGGTCCAGCGGGGAAAATCCAGATGGAGAATAAACTACTTGCTACATGCATCAGGCAGTTCTAAGTCATACTGGTTGAAGCTGCTACTCTATTGATACCCAATGCCACTGGTGTGGTTGAGCCTCCTGAGGCCTCCAACAATAGAAGGGGGACAGATTCTGATTGGTAAGTTAGTGATAATAATTTGGATACTTAGCCCCACTCCATTCACACATTCTATCAAAGGATGACAAGAATATAGTTATTGTTCAATGGAGGCCATAAGAAATCTTCTTAGCAGTTTCTCAAAAGACATGTGTAGGATCAGAAGAAAAGGAAGGTGTTTCTGTTCAGAAAATCTAAAACTAAGGCCGTTTCTAATTTCAAGAACGTGAGTACGGACTCATGTCCTTGCCAAGTAGGTTCTTGAGAATAACACAGAAAAGTATGGACTTGTATAGACATGGGGAGAACAGGAGCATAAATATGGGTCAATTGGAACAGAATCATACTTATGACATCACCACACGCTCGGCTCGACTTGGAGCTGCATTTCACCTCTTGTTATTAATAGTCATCAAATAATAAATTCTTACTTTTTTTTTTATTTATTTGGGGAATAATAGTTAACACAGTCAGATAAACACAAATCAAATGAACATTTTGCCAAATAAAACAAAAAACTCACCATCATAGCCAGCGGTCGTTAACACACCGCTATGCAGAGAGAGGGCTGCTGCAGACGGGCTAAGATTAGATCTGGTTGTCGTTACCCTCGGAGGTCCGCTGGTTGCCGCGGTCCTCTCAACTTCGGAAATAATTTTTCAAATTTTGCATTAAACCGGCAAATGGGCCAAAGATCGGCAAATGGGGCAATAAAACATACTTTTTAGAGTTCAGAAGCACATGAGAACACATATTGCAAAAAAGGCCTACATTTTATTTTATAACCAATGTGTAAGTAGTAGTTGAAAGAATCCATGGTGAAACCCAGTAAAGACAGAACCATGCAGGTTTCCTTTCGCACTCACATATAGCCTTGTCTGGGTTAAACTGATGATATATGGAGCTAAACAGAGAGAATTTTTGACTGGGGTGTAAGCTCTCCTGTTAGCAGAGCAAACCAGAACATCACACAGAAATCAAATCAAGTTAATCTGCTAGAATGGCTCAGTCAAAGTTTAGACCTTCATCAAACTGAAAAATCTGTGGGAAGGCTTGAAAATTAATCTGACTGATTTAAGCTAAATCAGCCCTTCAATACGAGTATTAGGGCCAGGCTAGAGATTTTTGTTTTTCTTCTATTTCAAGAATAAAGTCATAACATTATGTGAATAAAGTCGAAAAATTACAAGAATAAAGTAAGATTACGAGAATAAAGTCGTAATTTACGAGACTTAAGTCGTACAATTACGAGAATAAAGTTTTAAGATCATGAGAAAAAAGTCACAACGAGAATAGTCATAAAATTACAAGAATAAAGTCATAATATCAAGAGAATAAAGTCCTGAAATTATGAGAAAAAAGTTGTATTTTATGACAACTTCTACAAGAAGCACTTTCTTCACTAAAATGAGAAATGTGGAGCATTATGTGAAATAAGGAAATCTTTGAGCGAACCAGCATCAAATTGGGCACCATGTCCTGCAAGTGGACTCAGGTTGCTGTTTGGTGGAGCTGGTCGGAGCTCAAAGCTTTGTTTCCAAAATGGGTCGTTGTATGCTGATTTCATTCTCATAATATTACAACTTTATTCATGTAATGTTACGACTTTATTCTCGTGATGTTATAACTTTATTCACGAAATAGAAGAAAAAAATCTCTAGCCTGGCCCTAATACTCTGTTGTAAAAACCTAAAAACAACAACCTGAATTTATGATAGAAATATGTAAAATAAGCATTGCATTGGAACGGACAGAAACGCCATGCATGCAACACTCTTCAACCTTTTTTTAGTATATATTTTTTACCCCTTCCCATCAGTATATTGCTTTCCTTCTGTCACATAAAACACCAATTATATGCAATAAACTACATGCTTTTTACATGGCAGAATACAAAGCCTTTAAAGAACTTTTTTTGTTTTTTGATAATAAGGTTTAAGGAGTCATCTTACATAACACCCTCAAACGAACTCTAAGATGTGTTTTTAAGACGAGTAGCTTCTCTATGACCTCCTGAAGGAGGGGACTTGATTTGCTAGACAAATATTCATGGAAAATCTGAAGGCTCTGGGCCTAGCCTTGCCAGTCCAGCATGCATGGAGACGTACCATCAATGCAAATAAGCTTCCAACAGAAAACTGTGACACATGAGCATCCTGCAACTCCCCAAAACTCCCAAAAGAAAAAAAAAAAAAAACAGTAGCACCTCCCTGCTCAGCATAAGCCAGTGCTGCAGACGAATGTGAACACTTATTTCTGATTGCTGATCGGCTGTTGGTAGATATGGAACTACATTCTTACTTGGTTAGCTAGTTGCAGCAAAGCAAATACTTTAAAAACTTTTTTTTCTGAGTGCTGGTCAGAGCAAACAGAGGTAAGAGCTGTTTTTAATGGATTCATTACTTTATTTTGGATATCTTAACATTGTTTAACATCTCTGTAAGGATTTTAATCTGTTAAAATGAGCTCAGTTTTATATTTGTAAATTTTACTTTTCACTGGATGAAGTTACACAAATAAAGGGAGCCTATGTTGAAGTTGTTTTTACAATTGTATTGATGGAAAAGCATATTATATTTCCAGTGTCTCTTTAAACCTCAAAGCTATTACTTTTATTTAAATAATATAGAGGTGGACATCTACTTCAAATAAAATAGATGCACTCTGCAGGATTTTATTGAGAAATCTGCTATAGTGACTTAGTGGATAGGTTTATAGAACAACCTTCTTTATCCCAGCAGTGTACATTTATTTGATAAATATTTATCTTGTTTTTTTTTTTTTTTTTTTTTTTTTTTTTTTGTAATAGAAGTACTGATGTTACACAAAAACTATAACCAGTAGAATCAGTCCTGTTTCATAAATCAGCTGTGGAACAATGACCAATAGCAGGGACTGTCATCATCCAACAGTAAAATATTGTGGCTAAAGAATGAGCTATTTACAGGCTTCTTCATGTAGGGTTTTTTTTTTTACAGCTGCCTCTGTGGGCAGGAGTTAGCAGTTCCCTGTACCAGAAGCAGTAAAAAAACACCGACTTGTTTACATTCATAGACAAGATGCAAAGTAATGCAAACGTGTTTGCCTAGGAAAATACAAGCCAAGCAGCTTCAGCAGAAAAATAAATGAGAGGGTTTATGAAATGAATAAAAAAAGTACAGTCTATAAAACAGGTAAATACAGACCAGGAAATATAGTAGAAGCTTAAATAAACCAGTATAATGGCATTGTTCTGAAGAGGATAACCGTTTGGGGTTATTCAGTTTGACTTACTAAGCCGTAATAGTGAATGCTGATTTGACCTTACCAGTGTAGCGCTAAATGGTTAAATCATGAGTTATAAAGTGAAATACCAGGTCACAAAAAGTTTGTCTTCTTTCCACCTTTTTTTTTTATAAATCAAAATGCAACAGTAATATATTTATCTATCTATATATCTATGTATTTTTAAACAACATTAGCAAGCATATATATTTTTCCATTGATTTTAAATAGCAGCAGAAGAACGATTATTTCACATATTTAGGACTATTTTGACTACTGTTGTATAAACAAAAATATGTAAATATATGTATAATTGAATGTATGTATAAATTAGTTAAAACAATCCAGTTTTTTATGCCTCACCATACATATATGTATTACTAAGCATGTCAGTATTGGAGAATAAATACAACTTTCCTTTTGTTCTGTTGCTTGTTTGTTTTGGGGGAATTTTAAGGACATTTATATGCATATTATCCCTGGCAGGTTAAGGAGTAGAGAGAAATATATGATTTATTCACGTTAATACTTTTATACATTTAGTTCAATGCCTTTACAAAAGGGCCAGCATTAACCTTTTTTTTTTATTTCGCATTAACTTGTTAGTTTGGTTTTACTGGCTCTTCTGGCTGTGGTTGTGAAGTAAAAGTATTATTTATTAGACCGGTTCAAGTCTGAATTTAACTTTAAATGGAAAGTTCCCACATGCATTAATGACTCAATACCCGTTACAGCCAATTCCTACTATTACTAAAACTAAAGATCTTATTCAAAGTTATTTTTTTAAACGAATTATTATCATATTTAAGGTGAATTTGGTTGTTATATTTGTGATCCCCCACCAAATGAGTTTGACAGAACATATAGAGATCTCATTTAACAAATATTCTTCTATGTCGTCTGTATTATCCTACCAGAGGGACAATGTGGACCAAACAGTTTCTGTTCGTGGTGGTAATCCTGGGCATGTATCAGGTAGAGACATCCCTTCTCTACTTTAATATAACTGTACAGCCTGGATTATTTGCTCATAAGAAAATGTAAAGAACATATAAGAAAAACAAGATTTGATTCAATAAAATATTTGACGCTCTGAGACCCATTTTTGGCATTTCCTTGTTTTTGCCTTCGCAGGTTATTTCACAAGGTGAGATTGCTGACAGCACATTTTTCTGCTCTACTGTAACTCAGCACCTGTATCCTTTGGTTTAATCAATAACTGATTCCTTTCATCCACAGTCAGTCATTTTATTAAAGATGGCAAAAAAAATTTTTGCTTTTGTTCTGTTTTTCCCTCTGAAATTGCCCCTGTGCTAAAGACATTTACGTCGCTGAAGTAATGGTGGAGAGCAACGTCACACTGAGCTCTGAAAACATCCTGGCAAGTTGGAGCAAAGACACAACTATTACAACAAACACTACGATAATCAGCAGCGAACTGGTTGCAGGTATTCTTTCTAAACAATACTTTCAGTCCGGAGTTGCTTTAGTATCACTAGTGCGGTCCCCAGACTTGCAGAACACAAAAATCAATTAAATAAAAAAGTATTTTTTATCTGTTTCTACCTGTTGGAAAGTTATTTAGGTATGCGATAGCTTAATGCAGGAATGGCAAAAAAAAACATCCTTAAGATGTGGAGACCTTTATGTTTCTGGCTCCAACACAGCTGAATAGAACCTTAATTATGTCATAAGTACGTTACCATGTTTTACAGAGGTTGTAAAGTTTACCATTCATTTGATTCAGCAGTGTTTAAACAAGGATACATCTCTTAATGACTGGAGTTGGTCAATCCTATTAATCCTTTTTATGAAGAAAAAAAAATGAATTTTCAGGAAAATGTACCTAAGATTTTTGTGTTTTGGAGAGTTTGCTTTTTGATTCTGGGTGTGGAAGACATTTTAAAGTCCTTTATTACAAAAGAGAACGAGTTAAAGGTCACTCATCTTTTTTGACAAACAAGTGAAAAAAAAGGAATACCAAAAATATTTTTTTTTTTATAAAAAGCCTGTGAATTAAATGGATTTGAAAGAATGTGTGAATGGAGTGGGGCTAAATATCTAAATTATTAAAACTAACTTACCAATCAGATTCTGTCCCGCTTCTATGGTTGGATGCCTCAGGATCTGGGTATCTCTAGAGCCAGCAGCTCCAACCTGTATGACTTAGGACTGGAATTGCAGTCAATGGCTACATAATAATTTATTCAAGTTCTGCTAATTGCCTCATTTTGGGCACCCTTTTCACTATGTATTTTCTATAATGGGCAGAAGCATATGCTACTGCAAATATGCTAATACTTTTTACAGACATTCTCTGAAAATGCAAACATTCAGTGTAGCAGAACATTAGCAAGGAATGACTATCTATACTGCATTGGCATTTACTAAAAAACAAAAGCTACCTCATAATATAATGCAGACACTATTATGTTTCAAAGGGAAGGTGATCAGCATTATCTTTTAAACTCATAGTGTTTATTTGTAGACCAAAAAGCCTGGTTTTCCCAGCTTTGTTTTCAGCCAACTTTTATGCACTACATTCTGTTGGTGTATAACATTACAATTGGCTAAGGTTTGTGTAGTGTTACTAAAGATTAAAAAATTCAAACCCCTAGTTATTTTTATTGATGGCAGATTTAGGCCAAAACTAATTAAATTTTTGTTTGAAATCAAAAGCCATGTTGGATTGCATTTTTTACTAAGAAATCAATGGTAGCAATACAGGATTTGAGAAATAAAGCAAACATTTTTAGATTGATGTCACATTGTTCGTCAGCTGAAATTTAAATACCATGGTTTTGTTTTCTGTATTTCTGTCACCTCCTAGAATGCCTAGTCATTGGGGAGGACTACAGCTGTAACTGCTCTACAGGCTATGCTTGGAGTAATGAGGTCTGCTACAGCTATGGTTGCTGCAACGAAAGTACATGTAAACAAAATGTGTCTCAGGCAACATCCATATGTGTGCCCAAGACTAATGGTAATAAAGTATTTTCTTATACTAATGAGCACATCTATATTCATTTCTAAAATAAAAATCTGTTATTTAAAGGAGGAAAAAAAAACCACTAAAATACCGTACAATGTATAATTTAACATGTTCTAATTGTTATATAAGAATAAACTAATGGCAATGTTTGTAATTATCACAGTTCTCATCATCGTATCGGCACCCACTAGTATCACAGACGCAGCTGTATGTCTCTCTCTTCTAAAAATAAAGCTGATATATCCGTTCCAATATTAACTCATGTAATAATGAAATTCTTTCCTTTCAAAGATTAAGGAATTAAAGAACAACATGAATGCCGTAAATGGTTTGATCGATAACAGGTAATGCACTTCCTGATTTTATCATTAAAGTTCATTAATTGAATAATCTATTGGCAAAACAGATGGTTGGCTGTAAAATTGCACTCTAGGCATCAGATTTATCAGATTTAAGAGAGACAGAAAGGCTTACAGTGGTGAGGATAAATGCACAGCTAGAGGTCATGGTTCAGAAGCCTTCAAATTGAAGGGTTGTGTTTATGCAGCAGTTTTCCAGTTACAGCTTATGCCCAATACACATAGCATAGAAAGTGGAGTCTATGTGTCACTAGGTTCAGTTTTCAGATAGAGTGGAATGAAAATCTCTTGCAGTTAATGAAACATAACCAAACCTGGCTTAACGACCAGGTTGTCTCACACTCAAAACAACCCAGATTTTTTTAAACTGACACTGAATTATAGAATTGAAAGTAAAAATTCACAAACTGCTAATATTTTAAAACAAACAAATAAATTTTTAAAACAATACAATTCAGTTAAATTTAGTTAAATTAACTTTCAAGCTTATGCCTTTAATTGGAAATTAAGTCAATATAGATTCATGTAGGGTTTGACAAATTCAGTTTCTAATGGCAAAATTTTCTACCCATACTTCACAGCATTATTGTATATATTACTTTAATTTTTCCTAAAAACATTTCTGTTTATTAACTGTTTTGTTTTTTTTATTCTGTTCCTTAAATTATCTAGCGTCCATCCCACAATTCCTGATTATAATGAATTTAAGGTGAAAGTCAATGTTGATGTGAACTCATCCAGGCTTCAAGAGCTTCTGGATAGTTTACTACCATCTAGTCCAATATTAGTTTCTACACAAGGTCAGTACATCTTTTGATACATTTTTTCATGTTTTTAAAACCTTGATTTTAAAAGAATTTCTGTATAGTGGCTAACTATGGTTTTACACGGAATTACTCAAATTTTTCAACCAAATCCCTCAAAACATCCCACAGAGTTTGGAGAATGGTTTCATTTATTGTATTACAAGAAATATTTTTAGGTGCTTGGACCCTGATTTCCCACAAAATTGTTGATCTTTGGAGGTTATTTTGGTAGGAAAAATCAAAATATATAATAAAAAAAAATGGGCTTAAGAAAAGTAAATAAGCATAAATACGGCTCTCAGTGATGCTCATGTTCATGTTAACATCTTGATCACTTCATGTTAAATGATATAGCTTGCATTGCTTGGATAAATTGTGATGTTTAAGAACATTATATCCATTTACAGCTGATTCTACCTGTTAATTGTGTTTTTTTTTTTTCTCAAAAAGACTAAATGAAATCAATGCTTTTCAATCAATCGCTGATATTTTTGTCTTTCAGCATGGCTCAGGTTAAGCAGAAATAGCTGAAATATGATTTCTCTATATTGAAATGCTTTAATTTAGCAATTGCTCTGTCTATAATTCCTTTCATAGGAATGGTAAACATTAAAGGACCTTCAGGTACAGTGAAATATGAGTCAGATCAAACTTTTGATTGCACTTTTGAGTACGAGTCGGACAGTGCTAGCTGGAACCAAACAAAAGGGACTCAGAACCTTGGCGTCAGAGAAGGACGACTAACAGAAATAAAGAACTGTCCCACCACAGTGGATTACAAGTCCTGTTCTGAAATGACTCTAAAAAAAGTGACGGGTGCGTGGGAAGGTATGTTTTTTTGTTGTTTTATTTTACCTTACAAGATAACTTTAAACCTTCCTTTTGTCCATGGGCATATAACAGCATATACAACAGCATATAACGGAAACCCATTCCTTATATATATTTGTATTTTTTTGGTCCTGATATGATGCCGGAAAGCTGGCTGTGCGGTATTGCATTATTCTACTTGGATGTAAAAAATTGCCATCATGGCTTTGTCAAGTTGCTGCCTACCTTTGTGAAGCAAGAAAAAGACGAATACAAAGTGAATCCAGTAGAAATTTTCATTGCCTACTGTATCTGGAATGGGTAACAGTAGTTGAATAAACTTTTGGCCCTATTTGTTGGTACTCGCCGATACCGATACCACCATTTTGGTGCTGAATCGAGGCCCCGCCTGATACTGGTATTGGTATTTATTGTGATGACCCCTCCTCCGAACCAGATGCATGTCTCGCTCCACCCAGCTCCACTCACATACATCTGGGAACCCGCTCATTGAAAGTGATTTCCCCAACCGATTTTATGGTCTGTCCAATCAGGACGCAGGGTGGGTGTGTCCTGGAGTGGAGAAGCGA